AACTTACCATCAGTATCATCTATGTACTTCATATCTACATAATTATTTGTAATACACATTTCAAAAGTTAAGTTCCACTCACTTGCTGTTACAAAATGTTATGGCCATTACTTTAGGAGTTTGGCCAATTACTGGTATTTCGTCCAGACTATCATAGTTGACTATGAGCACATAGTTTTCTCCTGTCCATACACAGTGCATGAATAAGTAGATCAAATACCAATAATTTCTTACTCCTGCAACATTGCTGTTTGTGTACTGCTGAAAACTGTTGTCAAGTGAGATAAGTCAGCAGCACACAACACAGTGACATCAATTATTGTAAATTATTTTTAAAAAGTGAATGTACATGAAAAAAGCAATGCCCCCGCCTACCTGCAAGTTATCTACCACAGACCGACTCAATTTTTATACAATTTGTACTTTGGAGCTTTTCCATTGTTTCTCTAACGCTAGGTATGTGTCTACAATAAATGAACACAAGGGATGACGATGGGGAAGAGAAAAAAACAACAAAAACAACCCCCCCCCTTCCCCCCATTGAAGCACACCTTCCAGTTACTTGTTACTGCTTTGACTATTTTAAATTAACATCCTATGTACATCACTTTTCCTTTTTTTGTTAAGATGCCTAATTTTTGCTTCATTTATGATAAAGATAATCTCTTTATTTAGAGGTTTGAAAGTTGTTAGTTTGTTTAATTTTCATACAAAAGAAAACGATATTTACCTGGTCCACGTAGTAAAGGTCGTGGCCCAAAACCATCAGGGCCCATACCCATCCGAGGTCCCATCATTCCTCTTGGGCCAAATTCACGACGAGAAGGAAAGAACTCTGGTCCTGGACCCCGGCCCCTGCGGTCAAAACCATCCGGTCTAGGACCCCTAGGATCAAAATCCTCTGGATGTGGTATCCGAGGATCAAATCCTTCTCTTGGGGGTCCCCTAGGATCAAAACCATCAGGAGGTCGTCGGCCACGTGGGTCAAATTCATCTGGATGCATTCCTCGTGGATTAAAATCATCTGGGACTGGTGGGTGAATGTCAAAGTCATCTGGATGAGGGGGACCCCTAGGGCCAAAAACTTCAAATTCATCAGGGTGAGGCATCCGCTGCTCAAAACCTTCAGGTCTAGGCCCTTGTGGCTCAAAACCTTCTGGTCGTGGATGTCTAGAATCAAAGTCTTTCCTTTCTGAATCAAATTCTTCTGGCCGAGAATCTCTGGGCAACATTTCACGTCCAAATCCATCAGGATGCCGGTCTATGCCCTCAGGTAGACCGCCTCGTGGGAAAGGACCAGGTGGCCGAACACTATCAGGCCTGAATCCTGGGCCTGGTTGCCTGAATCCATCAGGCCCTGGACCCCTTGGACTGAAAACAGGGCCACCTGAAACAAACATCCCAGACATGTGCTACTATGCTGCTGTATTGCTGTTACCACACACTGGAGTTTTGTAAGTCTCAGGTTAATTTTAGAGGATGGAAGACAAATGAAGGCTTCAGCAATGGATAGAGATGGGATTAATTTTCTATCTGCATTATCGTTTTTGCTCTGTGGAGTTGTGTAAAACAGAACAACTGTTGAATGGTACTGATAATGCCACAAGAAATGCTAAAACTCTTAAGAATTTTCCTCGTGCACCATAAATCAACGCGTCTATTATGAAGATCAACTAGTTAATGTTGTTTAGTGAAATAATTGCACTTGTGTCTGGGAATCCTATGAAACCTACATATACATTGTGGGCAAAATGCAAAATACTGACTGTTGAAGCAGGTGGTATATACTATTACAACTGATCTTCAAAGGATTAGTAACAAGTAATTTGTGTTAACTGTAATCTCATGTTTCAGTAAGTAAATTGAACACATGTATTGCACTGATGAACATGTACTGTGGATGACCTAACTGGGCAAAGTGTATACACTGAGTGACATGTTAAGCAGTAAATGGAAATATAAATTACAACTGAGTTCTGGATGGTCTCAAGTTTTAATTATTAAGATATAACACTGAAAAAAATAATAACTGAGCAACATTAAGGATATACAGCATGTGCAATCTTGAATTAAGAATGATCAATTAGCAAGTCTGTATGGATAACTTATAAAATTACTACTTTGAAATCTACTGATGAGAAGGGGGATAATCTTATACTGCACTAAATGACATGTTAGAATGGTAAGATCTGGTAAACATAACCACACTTTCATGGATTAAAGACAGAAATCAAATCATTACTCTTACCTGGTCCAGGGGGCCCTCTAGCACCCTGGAACCGTGGTCCAGGAGGTCCCTGATGACCCTCAGTTCCATGGGATTTCCTATTATCAGAACCACCTTCCTGAATTGCTGGTGGAGGAATTTTAGGGAGATCCAACAAAGATGGTGGGGCATTTGGACCAGATGCAGATCCCTCCCTCTCACTGCTTTGCTCTGCAGAGGAACTTCTGTCTCGGCGTGATAGGGGTGGTGGTCTTGAGTCACGACCACAAAATGAATTTCTACAATATAAAACAAACCCAATACACCATGTGAAGACATGTGCCCTACCACAAAAGAAAATTATTAAGATCTTAAAATTAGGTGCTAAGAAAATTAAAGTGAAATACAGAAAATGGACAATACTGCAAAACAATGAAACAAGAAATAAATATATAAAGTTCTAGAAAGGAAATTTCTTGAAAAGAAAGAAAGCAGGCATTTGGAAGACTGAAAGACAAAAAAACCAAAATTAGTCTTTGAAAAGATGTAATGAGGATCTATCAATAATTTTTAAATGCAGCATAATCTTACAAAGAAAACAATACCACAATTCTGACATCTCAAGTTAATTTTAAATAATTCATACTGAAAGAATGATTAAAGAAGCAAATGGGTAACATATTCTAACCAAATAACTTATAAGAAATGCATACATAATATTAAAAACATACCCTGAAGACATAAGCTGTGAATGTGTCAACCCATTCAGCTGGTTCAGAACAGGGTCCAGCATCCGGCTCTTGTGAACACAGCAATAAACCTCTGGGTTCCACAAAATGTGGAATGTTTCTGACCATCTAAGCAATTAGAAACTTCTCGAGAACTTTTCTCCATAGACTTAATTAAAATCACAACCAATAAACTGTGGACTTCTCATTACGTAATACCCATTCCCAGATTTAATAATTATCATAATGAAATCATACAAACCTTCAAATATTTTGCTAAGATTCCATACTGTAAGTCGATATTACAACAATAAATGTTATCACCTTCCATCTTTTTGTATCTATCACTGTATGAAGTTCCAAATTAAAGAAGACAAATTGTCAAAAACCAGAGTACTAGCAAACCCATCAATTTAGATCTTTCACTTCCTAAATAAATAATTTTAAATTATACAAATATGTATATATACACATTTATAATATTTTTAATGACAATCTTAAATATATTAATTTTAAATGGCTGTGCACTTTACCCCTGCATACAAACATACAGTAAAACCTGCACGTAACACAATCCTAAGTCTCCTCTTCAAACAGCTTTCCACAAATATTTACCTGAAGATAGGCAACACTCAAAGTACACAGAAATCTGTTCAGTGTGTTTGAAAAATATAGATAACTGCATATAACCTCTGTAGGAAGATACCTATATTGCCACAAGACATGAATATCTTGTAACATCTCAAATTATTCCATTCATCTAGCAAGCCTCAAGAAGGTCAAGAGAAATGAATGTTCTCTTTCCTGCTGTAACTTGCACAAGCACAACACAAAGCTGTACAGATCTTTGCTGGCTGCAATTACTTCAGAACAAGAAGTTACTGGTTTTAATCTATTGAGCTGCAGCATTAATTTAAAAAGTTCAGATTTACACAATGACCTCATTCTGGCTAAGAAGAGGCAGAAGATACACACAACTCAATGAACTGTGTCAACTGTGGTCTTCAGGGTAGTCTCATAGCCTAGATGTCATAACCCTGAAAACCACATGGAATCTCTGCCACTGTGAGAACCTCAAATCTCAGTAAACTATATCTCTCATAATATCTCTACTAGTATAGATTCCTTCTGTACTACAGTTTCAAACCCTACATTTCACAACATCAATACAATTTCTAACATATATAAAAGTTGCATAAATATGTACATAGGTCTATATATATGTCAATATTATATTTGACATTCCTAGTTGCAATGGTTCATCGGTTATCACATATACTGACAGATACATATATACTTTGCAAGGCCACTATATTATAAATTCTGAAGTTGACATGGTTGTCATGTTGATATTTTTCACAGTAAACAAATGGTAGTAATGGAGTAGCTTTCAAAGACATTATTGATGTACATACAAAGTTTCACACGATGCCACAAATTCATCTTACAAACGGAAATAAGAGGTGCGATCGGAAAGTTTCTAGACTGCGCCTATAAAAACCCGTACACTTATCTCAGGTATTAAATTCATCCATCACCCTCGAAGTAGTTCCCCTGGGAGTGAACACAACGATCCCA